ACTTTTCTTGGTTGAAAAGGAAGATTTAATCTTGTGATAGAATCTCAAATTAAGTTGCAAATCTGTTTGAGATCTTAAAAGTAGATAGAGCAAGTATAAAAAAGCTTTTGATAGCAAAAATAGCCTTTAGCATTGGGGTAGAGTAAGCTAAGGATGGCAAGATGGAGACACAATATGAGAGAGGACAGGAATTACATTAGTTTTCAACAAGGTAGGGAAAATTGTTAATATTTAGCAGTCATGGTCAGACTTGCCCACTGTTGAGCTAAAGTTGTATAAGATTAATTAGAGAGGAGGACAACCAGTGCTTTTTTTGTAAGAAAAACGTACCAAAACTCACATCTTGTTAATCTTATATTTACCTTTTGCATGTAGTCAATTACTGTACCACACACACACACACATCAGTTGTATAACAAAACATAATGGTTGTCGCCTGCAGTAAACACTCAGTGCACAACTACATGACCAATCACAAGCTGAGCAGTGCCACAAGCCGAACAGCTAGATGAAGTATGCATGCATCAGACTCAACACACAAACAGCCCGCATGCACCGTTTTAATGATTTTGATTTTGCCGCTGACCTGCTATGCTCGACAGGGCAATTCAAGTCCAGGTGGACCAAACATTAAATTTTCAAAAGTTACTTTTAAAACTTGGAAAATCTTGTCAAAAAAAGGTGCCGGAACTCCATTCCGCTGAGTTCTATGACAAAAAAAGCACTGAGGACAACTATTGATTTTCCTGAGAACCCAGGCTCTACTTGATTGAATGAAATGAATGAAAAATATTTTAAATAGACTTAGGTTGAATATTGCTGAGTAGCTGGTTTCTGTTGATAAAATAACAGAGATCTTGGCAAGAATTTAACACACCTAGGAAGAAATGGCTTACAATACATCCCTGGTTGGGCATTACAGTACTCAATCCAGTGAAAAACAGCTGCTTTTTGCTCCAGAATATGGCTTTCCCAGGCAAGGACAATTGGAACACAATAAAACTGCAAAGGTTCTTGATACCTTTGTACATGTTGGTGAGGAGGATCAGAAACACTGCAACTCTGTTTTAAAAATATATAATCGGTTAATGTTGCAAAGAAAGGACAAAGATTTTCTGTTTTTTTCAAAACACTCATAACTGGAGTCTAAAATTTGTTTTGATAATGAGCAAGTATTCAGTGCTTATACCAGATTGAATTATTGAGAATAAATATGTGTGATCTTGTCAGTTCACCTTTAATCATCAGGGAATTGTTTCATCATGTTATGGGAGAACTGGAGGAAGCATTACATCAAATTATTGCATATTAGGAAATGATTTCCATCTTAACCCTGTAAGGAGACTTTATAGGAAAAGAAGGTGTTTTTTTTTATAAACAATGCATTCAAAATACATATTATTCATCAAAATAGGAAAACAATGAAAATATTGTAAATGTTGCTTTCTCACCTTAAACTGTATATTAACATCATTAGTTTGATAAATAGAATTGAACTGAACAGAAAATAACATTCAAATCCACACAGCTGAATTTCCTGGGGCATTAATTTAGAGCTCTAGAAGGGTTGTTTACAAAGGCGATTGGTATTAAGCCACAGGAATCTGTAAAGATTACCACATACAATTAAATTTAGAAAAGAATGTATCCATGGGAACAGCCAATGCCTTACTTGAGAGTATATGCAAATCCTTACTTGATTTAAGAGAAAAATTCAGTGTCCCTCCCACACTTTTTCTCCTAAATCAGCAACAAAATATATTTTAATCTATGGAGGTTTGCTGACAAATATATTGCATGTTTTATTGTTTTCCTAAAGACCTTACAGTCAGAGAAGAGAAGTCCAGTGGTCTCATTTAATGAGATAGTGTCTGACTCTTACGGGAGACATTGCTGAAATGTTGTTCAGTAGTGTACATGATGGTTATTTGCATAATTTACCTTAGTTAATTGTCTCAAATGTGCAATATTCCCTTGAACTGCAGTAACACAGTGGAAAACTGACTAAATCTATTTTCCATAGTACACTTCTGTTGTTCTACTTGAGCAGGTTTCTGGTTGAAAAAGGAATGGAAATTCACAAAATTCTTCAGAGCAGATCCATGTTTTAATAGCTCCCCCCCAATCCTTATTTTCTCTGTGTTTTAGAATTATTCTGCATCTCTTTAATATCCTAGTTACAAAAACTTTAAGATTATTTTTTGGTGCCACATTTCTCCACCTCTGGCAACTTTTGGAACTATGATCTGGATGACTGAGAATCTCCATAGACATTTAGCTACGCACTTTGGGATAAACACCCTTTGAATGGTGCAGGAATGTGAAGGGATTTCCAGAAAAGAAATGCAGACTATAGGACCATTTGCATTTCAGTTTGAGATGCAGACAACACAGACTCATCCTCACAGCCTGTGCTTGTGTTCAACAGTGAAGGGACACAGGGTAGAAAACATCCTGCCAAAAGCCCAGCTCCACAACACAATCCTTTCAGCAGTTCCAAGAAGGCTCCACACCCATTTGCAGGTGACCCTGTGGACACACATAAATCTCCAAGTAGCCTAACAACTCTCTAAAAGAATGCAAATGACTAGCTGTCTGCAAGGGATATAAATCATCCCCCACCATCCAGTCAGAGCTGAAGAAGCTTTTTGGATGAGAAGCAAAATGTCTTCAAAGAAAAACAAAAAAGTCCAGTTGCCTCTCAAAAAAAGCACCTTTGGGACAACCATGATCTGGATGACAGAGAATCTTCATAGACGTTTATCAAAGTCAAGCTTTAACTGCAGTGTGCTTGCATTATTTTATGCAAGCCAGTATACTGTTCATTAGATCCTACCAACTTTGAAGTATATGCAGTGTATTTCCTACCATACTTGCAATTTGAGGGTCCTCCAAGACTCATGCTTCCTGCTCAAGGAGCAGGTGGCAGCTGTGGCTAGGAGGGTCTTGTCTGGTGTTTTGTCTGGTGTGCCAGTTGCATCTGGTCCTGGTTTGGCAGGCCCTATTTACCATCACATGTGCCTTGGTCACCTCCAGTTTGGAGCATTGCAATGCATTCTACATGGGACTGCCTTTGAAGAGTATTCAAAGACTTCAGCTGCTACAGAATGCAGTGGCCCAAGCAATATGTACATTCCTAGAGCATCACATGTTATACCTCTGCTCCATGAGCTGCACTGGTTGCCAGTTTGCTTCTTGGTCCAATTCAAGGTGCTGTTTTTAGCATTTAAAGTCCTTCATGGCAGGGGACCTAATTGTCTGATGAAGCAGCTCTCCCTGGTTGCATCAGCCTGCCTCGCTAGATCTGGCAGAGTAAGTATGTTGTAAGTACCATTGGCCAAGGAGCTTCATTTGATGGGACCAAGGAGACATGACTTCTTTGTTGCAGTGCTGCCTTATGGAACATTGGTCTTTCTGAAATTAGACTAGCCCCATTCCTTTTGTTATTCCTAAAAGCCCTCAGATCTTGAATATGTTGTCAGACCTGGAGCTGGCAGGGAACCAAACTGCTGCTCAAATGGTTCCATTGTTGAGGTGGCCATTTATATCCTCTCTCTCCTATGGTTTGCTTTTCTCCACATTGAAACTCATTTTGTTGGATAGGGCCCATTGTTCAAGTTTGTCAAGATTTTTTTGGATCTTGAGTTTGTCTTCTGGGGTGTTGGCTACTCCTGCCAGTTTGATGTCATCTGCAAATATGATGAGTTCCCCTTCAATTCCCTCATCTAAGTCGTTGATGAAGATAATGAAGAGTACTGGGTCTAAGACGGAGCCTTGTGGTACCCCACTGCTTACTTCTTTTCATATGGATGTAGTGCCATTGAGGACTACTCGTTGAGTAGGGTTTACCAGCCAGCTACAGATCCATCTGGTGGTGATGTTGTCTATTCCATCTTTTTCTAGTTTACCAAGGACTTCTCTTAGACTGTTTGCATGACATCAGAATGTGTTCCAAATCCCAGTGTTCCTACTACATTAGGATTATTATCTTCTTTTTCTTGTTCCATGCTGATTTGTTGGAAACCAGAGCAAAACTGCTATTTTCTTATGCAACACTGCAGTTTTGCAGAACTCTAGAGGATAATTGACTTTTCCATGGGTGAGGATCTTTTTTCACTCTGCCTCCTGACCCTGAACTTCAACTTCCTGATTTTGAAATCTATAGAAATGGTTTAGTATCTCTCTCTCCCTATCCCCTGTTTGTTGCCATAGCAGCATTCTACTATATCTATTGGTATTATCGGCTACAAAAAATGCTAACAAGTTATGTTTTCACTTTTGCAGTTTGCTGGGGGATTTTAAATTTAAGAAAAAAGGAAGCTATGCATCTGAAAAGATTTTCCTCATAATAACCACTCAGATTTTTTACGTTTTTTGACAAATGATCATAGATATGGACATGACACGAACTCAAAATGTGCACGGGAGCATTAACAATTTAACATTCCTTTTACATGAAGTGAGATGATTTTTATTGCTTCAGGATTTGTGGTAGTTTAGAGGCCAGACAGTGATTGAATAATTTCTGTTATATGTTTTTACCAGTCAGTTGAACAGGAGCATTGTTTAATTCATGGTGTTCCCTGCATATCCTGTATTTTTAAGGTCAGACAGAATGGTTGCAGATCAGCTTTGAAATGTGTTGGAGAAACTGGGGAGTAAAAACAATGGTTTTTCTTATTTTCCTTGTGTCAAATTTTGGATTTATAAGATCCTCAGAATCACAGAAACTGCCCTGAAATATTTTATAATTGATAGTGTTTACAGAAATAAGAATAGAGGTGACAACATTCAAATACAGTAGCTCCTCTGAGATTCATTCATGTAGAATCCTTCTGTATTATTCAAAAGGCATGTAACAAAGCCTTTAACAAATGCTCTCATATTTATTTTATCTCTATAATTTTCCATTTGGCTTACAGTATGGGAATACTTATGTACACTAATATAAACTCTTCCAAAAAAAGTCAATCTTGATGTTCCTTCTGTTGTTATTTTAGCAGCACAGCTTTTTAGCAGCAGGAATGAATTTCGAATCAGCACCCTGACATTTCATCCTCTTGACCCAAATGTGTTTCTTTGTGGAGGATTCAGTCCAGAAGTTAAAGCCTGGGATATAAGGTCTTCTAAGGTAAAAATAAAATTGAAATCAAAATTATTTGAACTTGCTTTTGATAACCATCCTGGAAATAATAAATCTATGTGGGTAGCTAATGATATTATTTTGGAGAGAATAATTGGCATTTTCTGTTGAAATAGCATGGGAACATGATTTCTATTATTTTTGCACTATGATGTAAAAGCAAACAGCTAAAATTCTTGATACATTCTCTCTAAAACAAAAACCAGATAAAGAAGAAAAAGTAGGGGCATGTTTGATAAGTCTATTTTGTATTTAATTTCCTTGTCACTTACTGCTGTGCATGTTCTGAGAGTTGTGATAACTATTAAAAGGTAATTTTCACCCGTTGAAACTGATTTATTAGTAAGGCATCGTTTGCTGAAATAAGCAGCAATTTGTGAGTTTTTGAAACTGTCTGCCAGAGGTTTTTTTTTTCTTTTTTTGTTTTTGTTTATCTGCAAGAACCTTTAACATTTATTTCTGGATTTTTAATGTTAGAGTGTGGATCTATCATCATGAAGTTTGATATCAAAAGATCACTCTGTTTATCTGAGGAAAATTTGATTAAGCACAGTGGGACTTAACTGCCAAGCAATCATGATAATGACACACAGTTACAGAACATATAATGTTCCGTTTACAGGAAGTACTACACAGAAGGAGAATATGATAATTAACTATTATTTCATATGGTAAAAGTAAGAGGTTGCATATAAAAGGAAACTGACTAATTATGCAGTAATAATTGTCTCTCGTTATAGCACAGTAGAGGGCAGTGGTCAGGTTCTCCAGAGAATAGTCTAAGGCAGTGTTTCTCAAACTTGACAATTTTAAGGCATGAGGACGCTGGCTGTGGAATTCTGGGAGCTGAAGTCCACATGCCTTAAAATTGTCAAGTTTGGGAAACACTGGTCTAAGGCAATTGAATATGATGTAAGTTATTTTAAGGACTAATATTTTGGTGTTTTAATATCCATAGAGAGATATTCACAAGAAAGAACATGTCTGCTCTAAGACATATTTTGAATATTCTGGCATTTGTTGGCTTTACTGAAGTCCACACTGCTGGTCCCACTGGATTTTCTACCAATATTCAACTTGGAAGTTTCAAAACCCCTTTTTTGTATGACTTCTGAGCTTTTCTTTGTTAATAATAATTTTACATCCTATTTACATTTAAATCTCTCTTGTTCCAAGTTTATATTCTTTTAGTATTTTGATTTGACCTCTTAATCAAAATACTTACAATATGTTTCAATATTTCTGATGTCATTATTTGCAGTCAGATTGATTCTAATGTTATCCAGTTCAGGTTACTTGGCAGGATATGTATGTTGAAACATCTTCTCTGTGACCAGTAATGTGTTGTGATGGATGGGTAGGGAAATAAGGATATTTTTTAATAGCAAAACAGGTATTGGTATGGGAAGTATAGAAACTGGCAATCTTAGTACAAGATGCTAGCTAAAATGGTGTTAGTTACTTTGGGCCAAGTGTGTCGTGTAAACCAGTGGAATTCATTTATGGTTCAGGTTATTTCAGTAAACTATTATTCAGTTAACCATGGGTTATTACTGGAACACAGTCAGTCTCTTTTTCACCAAACAATTCTTCTCTTATGCAGTCATACATTTTGATTGAGGAGAAAAATCATGGTAGGAGAAATGTTGTGGAAATGGGTTCATTCTGGATTTATTAAGCATATGCATCATTCATTATTACAGTGAGTTCTAAACCAGTTTTGCAATGGTTTGCTTTATAACATCCCAGTTCACTGCATATAATTTCCCTTCTATGGAATGCAGGCAATGGTATGTTGGTATACAAGACAGTATCCAGGTTAGACTTTTTACTGTAAGTTGCATAGTATAGCACAACCAAGATCAGGGTAAAACTGTCTTGTCTTAGCAGCCTCTACCAAGGCAAGGACATATAATGCCTGCTGGGCTTTGCAAATTATTATTGGTCTTTTATTTGATTTGTCAAAGTCATAGCACATTGACCAATCTTTTCCAGAAGAAGGTATCTTTTCAATGGGATGAGAGAAAGCATTCAAAGTTTTAAAGTCTATATTTGCTTCTCAGCTCATCCTTCGTCCAGCAAGGCCTTGAGAATATTTGTAGAGACTGATGCCTCTGATGTAGCCCTGGGAGCAGTATCCCTCCAGGCAGATCAACACTCCTCCAGTCTGTTCCCCTGTGGGTATGACTTGCAGAAACTGAATATAACTAATAAAAAGTACATCATCTGGGATAAGGAATGCTAGCAATTAAAGCTGCCTTGAAACTGGGCAACATCTGTTAGAAGGGATCCAATATCTAGTAGAAGGCTAATCTTAACAATCACAGTCTTGAGCATCTTCAGACAATCAGGAAGCTGAACCATAAGACAAATTCAGTGGTCATTGTTTTTCTCCTGCTTTAATTTTACAATTACTTACATCCTCAGTAGCCATGATAAAGGAGCCCATGACCTTTCCAGGAAACCGTAATCTGAACGCTCTGATACTGATTCTCAGCCTCCAGGAAAAAAAAATGCTGCTATCAATGTTCCAATAGCAAATCTGCTTCACAAATTACAAAAACAGCAGCACCTAGACTACTACCACCTGGGCCCATCAGAGCAAAATTGAGGCCACTCCTAATAATCCTCTTCAATATTGAATATTGAACATTGGATCAGAATCTTTTACATTTTTAAGTCTGGTATTACATTCTGTGTGGTATAGTTCTGAAATTGTGCCATGATATCCCATTGGTCTCTTCAAAATTCTGCCCTTGATGGGCAGAGATTTCTGGTGGCCACATCTCAAGATGAAGTTGGGAAATATGTTCCTTCATGCCTTGTTTGCTGCCTATTCAAGGCATTCAGGGCAGCTAGTTGGAGAACGCCTACCATTGCCAACACCAGAAAGACCCTGGTAAACTGTATCTCTCAACTTCATCATAGAGCTGCTTCTTGTCAAAGGGAGCATTTTCACCAAGGTAGCTCATTTCATTCCTTGTACAGGCCTACCCATAGACAAAAATGTGACGAGTATCTTTTAAAATAACATATTCCAAATATGTTGCAAGTTTCTTTTTAAATAACATATTCTACATAGGTTACCAGAACACCTGATGTCAGATTGGGGTCCACAGTTCACTTCTTTTGGCAGACACTCTGACAGGTTGATATGCAACTTCATCTTTCTTTGGCTCATTATCCACAATCAGATAGGAAAATATGCTTCACTCTCTGTTGCCCTGGATGCATCTTGCATACCTTTCTCAAGTTCATGTTCCTTACTCTCTATAATATAGGTCATCCCCTTGGTTTCCAGAAGTTCTCTAGGATATAAAGTAGAAAATACCTCGATTATAGATGAAAGTGGACAGAACATAAATCTGACTGAGCATGGGTTTATACTCGGATTTTAGCCTTCTCAGTGTTGATAGGAGAAGCAAAGAATTCCTACTTCTTATTGCATCAGTGTGTTGTCATCCACTAATGTTAGATCCTTCTGGGAAGGATGAGCCGAGGTGGCGCAGCAGTTAGTGTGCAGTACTGCAGGCCACTTTAGCTGACTGTGTGCAGCAGGTCAGCGGTTCAAATCTCACCGGCTCAAGGTTGACTCAGCCTTCCATCCTTCCGGGGTAGGTAAAATGAGGACCCAGATTGTTGGGGGCAATGTAAATATACATATACATTGCTTACTGGTGTACACCGCTTAGAGAGTGCTTGCACTTAAAGCGGTATATAAGTCTCATAAATAAATAAATAAATAAACTGCATTTGAAACCAGTTATCAGCATTTTGCTGATGAACTCATCAGAGTTGCTCGAGTCTGGATTTCACTTGGACAGAGTCTAATGTGGCATCTGGGACCTCTTGCCAGGATATCTGGGATTCATTTTGACGTCTATCTTCTCTACTGAGGAAATGGGATGCTTTCGACAATGTCCTCTGCTACTTGTAGCCTAAACCCTTGTTCCTTGTGGCTTCGTTGTGTGTCCAGAAGAGAGTATATTCTCTGGATCTGAAAGATTAACAGCGCCTTTTTGGGGGAGAGGGTGTTTCTGGCAGCTTTGAGTGAGGTTATGGTACACTTTCTTCTTAGGATTCAAACTTCCTTTTTTTAGCAAAGGTTGCAGAGACAGTGTCAGTGTTTTAAATTTGGCAAGGTCAAGAAACAGAAGCAGCAGGGATTTCACAAATGTGATTTATTTTTGTGAGTAAAATAATAGAACCTTGAAGATCTGTTGGAGTTTCTCTTTATCACATCTTATACTTAACAAAAACAAGTGATTATTTTCAGTTTCTTTCTCTCACTTTCCTCTTTCTCAAGATTGAGTCACCTTTTCCCCATCTCTTAATGGTTTATTACTCCCTTCCTCTTTCCCAAAGCCACTTCTGCTTTCTTTCTGGGATTAAATGTAGAGTCTCCAAAATAAACTGTAGCATGTCCAAGATAAAATGTCAGCCTTATCAGTCAGGATTTAGAATTTTTGGTTGCATTAGTGGATTTTAGTTGTTAAATTCTGGATGGAAGATAATATGTCTGTCCTGATCCTGTTAAATGTATCAGTACCATTGACACTAGTATCCTTCTGGATTGGCTTTGAGATCTGGGATTTGGGGGCACTGTTTACAGTAGTGCCAGACTTTCTTTAATGGCTGCATCCAGTCAGAATGGTAGAAAAGAGCCTGCTACCTTATTGGGGCTGGTTTTCTTCCTCCAACTGTTTAATATTTGCATGAAACTGCTAGGTGAGATCATCTGTCAACTTGGGGTGCAGTATCCTCAGTATCTCCTTGATATCCAGCTTTGCATTACTAGTTTGGGACATACTGGTGAGATAGAGATCTTATCCCAGCATCTGGAAGCTGTGAAGAGCTGGGTGGGAGAGAGCAACTTAAAACTGAATGGTAGTAAGATGGAGTCACTGTTTGTCCTTCAGGATGCTTGGGAGGTTCCAATAGCGAGACTTGATGGGGAAGCACTTATCCCTCTAGAAGCAGGTCCTGGT